CAGGTACATTATTTGTTAATTAAATAACCTAAATACAAAAAAATTCTTCAATCTATAACATGAACGCAAAAATATTCTCAATCTCTAGCTACTTATATGTCTTGTCGACTCAATATTCATTACTATCAATCCTTCGAAACCTAATTAGAGAAACGGAAAGTAAAAGTATAGCTAATAATTCTCAAATTAGACTCACCGACTAGGGGTTTGGCCTCCCTCCCCTAGCATTTTCTTCTTCTTCTCTATGAAAACTCTCCTTTCAACAACGCAGATTTGATTCCGCTGACTCCGCCGCTCAAATTGATGAAGTTTCTCAGACTACGATGCGCTTCGGAGAGAACGAAGCAATGGAAGAAGACGAAGGAAGTAGCCACAGTAGCCGAGTAAGAAGAAGACACCTGGTTTGTTGATCTCAGAAAAGCTTCCAAAAAACTTCTCTGAAATTTACAAAGGGGGAGTGAAACTTCTCGTGCTGGATGGTAAAAATTGGCAACTCTTTTTTAGCTATATGCTTTAACCCTCTTTTCTCGTTAAATTCAACTTTCCTCACAAAAACATTTCATATGTCAATAAAAGCCCCGCGTTTTGTGACTTCATTCAATTGATACCTTTATCTATTAAAATTTTGATTATTTTTTTTGGCTTTTTCATCCGGTATTCGATACTTGCATTGGAGTCTAACTAATTCAAATTCACGTTGTGCAAGGGCCCATGTAGGAAAAAGCATTAATTTTTTCATATCTAAAGCTCGAATTCAAGACTTTTAGTTAACAAAAATATGATACATATATTATACTTATAATATAATGGATACATTTAATATATGCCCACTATATATAATCGAGTGTATAGAGTTCAGTTATATTTGATAAATTAGATGACCGAATGGTATACATATGAATAATTGTCCCCTATTTTTACGTAAAAGTCACATTTAATCGGACATTTATGGGGTAGGCCTAAGTGATGAAGCCCACTGGATTTAACAAGCTAAGTGGGAGTAGGTATTGGGTATGGGTAGCAGTGGGCTTTTTCAACATTTTTGAGCTAGTAAGATGAAGGAACATCTTAAGATTTTTCTAGAAAATAGGTGGGTCTCACACTAAATAAAAACCAGATTTGAAATGTGCAATAAAAATATAATTGTAGATCCAAACTTTTGAGTGTTGAAGCATTGCTAATATACTAGCAATAACAACGTCAATAATATATTCAGTGTGATTCTATAATTGAGAATGATATGTACGCAATCTTAGAAATTATTTTTCGGTAAACAATTGATTCCAGTAAAGTATAAAAAGAAAATCCAGGTAATACATTAGGACTAGTGAGTGGTGACTAGGGAGTACTTTCGACCAATGGTTGTTTGTGAATTAATGAAGGGTATGAGCAAAATTAAACTCATTCATGAATAAAAGATTTTAAAAAAGAAAAAGTTCGTTTAGTTTGATTTTAGAAAATAAAATATGAAAAAAAAAATCAAAATATCTAGTATATTCTAGTTACATATGGTCAGTAAAGAAATTAATTAGCAATTAAAATAATTTTTGTTTTGATTATAGTTTCACGTTATGTAAGTTAATTCATGTTTCACTTGTCGCATTATGCTTTTATAGGTGACCGAGGGTGTTTGATATTTCATCAAATTTGTATTACTATTATCTTAACAACAAGGGTTCATTATTTCAACTATGTAAATTGAATTTAGAAAAAATATTTAAGAGATTGAACATTACTATTTTTATAATTATCATTCATATTGTTCAAATATATTATTTGACTATATTATATTTATATTATTTTTTATAACACATCGAAAAATCAAAATGAAAACCCAGTACCATAAAATAAATAATCTTTTTGAATTGGGTAACATTTCTTCAAAACCAAAAACTAAAATATCTAAATCATAAAATACAAAATTAAATTTAAAAAAGGGAAAAGGCTCAAATATGCCATCGAACTTTCAGAAAAGGCTCATTTATGCCATCCGTTAAAAGTTTGGCTCATCTATGCCATTACCGTTTAAGAAAAGGCTCATTCATGCCATTATTTTTTAACGGTGGTTTTACAAAACCATTTTTTACACGTGGCCAATTATAATTCGGCCACGTCATTATTTTTTTCAGAATTTTGATTTTTTATTATAAAAAAATAATGACGTGGCCGAATTATTTTGGTCACGTGTAAAAAATGATTTTGCAAAAAAGTTTGTTCAGAATTTTGAATTTTTATTATAAAAAATATGACATGGCCGAATTATAATTGGCCACGTGTAAAAAATGGTTTTGTAAAACCACCGTTAAAAAATAATGGCATGAATGAGCCTTTTCTTAAACGGTAATGGCATAGATGAGCCAAACTTTTAACGGATGGCATAAATGAGCCTTTTCTGAAAGTTCGATGGCATATTTGAGCCTTTTCCCTTTAAAAAATAAATGTACACCCTTAGCAGCTAGGGAGAAGTGGCCAGTGGGCTAGCCGTTAGTAATAGTCTAAAAGCCAACATTTTTCCTTTTAGATTTTTTTTTTTTTTTTTGGTTTTTCATCCGATGTCCGGAGCCCACGTTGGAGCTCCGACTAAATTCGAATCGCGCATTGCAGGGCCTATTCGGGGGTGGCGCTCCCAAAAAGATTTTCTCCATACTCAGGACTCGAACCCGAGACCTCTGGTTAAGGGTGAAACACTCTCACCAGTACACCACAACCCATGTTGGGTTTTGGATTTATTTCTAATTCAAATTCATATTGGAAAGTTTCACCTTTAATACATTGTTTATAAAAAATGATCTTATATTTAATATCTAAATAGAAAACCTCTTATTAAAAATGAACTAGTAATATTTACCAGTCTAAAAGACAACATGATGTAATAATTGGAAAAGTAAATGTAGTGAATAATTAAAGTAGCTTTAGTTTTGCTTTATTTTACAAGTGTTTACTTTCGTTACAAATTGTTAATAAAAATATCGACAAGCATGATCTGTTATTGTTGTCCTTTTGTGTTGTTGACCTCTTCCTCATATAAAATACTTTTAAAAGTTTATTTAATATGATAATTATATTTGATTGGATATGAATTTTAAAATATCAACTTGAAAAAAAAAATCTAAAAAATAAAAAGACCCAGCCAAATTCGAAGAACATATATTAGTGGTGGTGTTCTAATAGATCTATCAATGATTCAAATGATTCCAAATCTTGGACCCATTTTACTGAGACCAGACTCGTGAGGAAGAAATTTGAATTAATAAACTATAAATTAGATGGATTTGACAATAGATATTAATTTAATTAATCCATGCATTAATAGATAGAAACAATAAAAAGAAATTGTTAATTGCTTGTTGTAAAAAATAGGGATAAGGGTCTGAAAAATATCCCAACTTTGGTCGAATTTGTTGTTGCTATACTAAACTTTCATGAGGACCTATTACCTCCCTAGACTATTTACTACCGTATTTTTTATTCCCTGAACTATTTAATAGTGTATTTTAAAGGTATATATGTGCCCACGTGGACACATTACTATTTATAATTTTGCATTATTTTTTATGTCCAC